GGCGAGCGCAGTTACCATATTTCAGCCCTAATTGGGCTGAGGCTGCAGAGCCAATTTGGAAAGAAGGGTAGTTTGGAGAAGAGTTCCTCTGCGACGTTGTTAGGCACCGGGACGTCTCCGCAGCAGCCACCAGGTGTGGACTGTAATTGCCACCGAATAAAAAGAAGGAGACGCAGGTCCTGCAGTCTGGAGGCGTTCCGTCCACAGCGGCGGTGTTTCCTCCGTCGCTGCTCAATAAGTCAATACAGACAAGAGCTGATTGGACGACTTGTCTTGTTTACATCTTTAAGGTTGGTTCTCGGGGAGTTCCTGCCGCCCTCCAGAGGAGGAGAGAGGAGGAGAGAGGAGGCGGGGGGAGGAGGAGGGAGGAGGGGCATTGTTCTCTGCAGTCATCACAGTGACACATGACTTACCTGGGCCGCGGCCACCACCGTGCTATTTTACTGTGTGGTGGCAAATGCTCTCTCTCTCTCTCTCTCTTTCTCTCTCTCTCGCTCTCTCTCCCTCTCTCTCTCTAATTCTCCCATGACGCATCGCTCACATTCTGGGAAGTGCGTCTCGCTGTCTGACCTTACACGCTGCTCCTCAGACTTGCGATCTATGGCAGCCATTTTCTGGCCAGCCTCTCGTGAAGAAGCACAGAGATGTAAATGTCAGCCGGTGTCTCCTTAACACTCAATAAAGGGCCCCAGGATTGGGCCCCCTCCGCTCCGCCAGTCGATTGGCCGTCTAATGAGGAGAGGCCCGGCCATAACTCTGCAAGATTCACTACTGTTTGTGTTCCACCAGAGGGCCTGGCACCGTAATAATTCCAACTGGATAAATGTTTTCCCGATAACAAGCTGAAATAACCTGTCGGGCTGAAGTTGATGTAGACAAGAGCAATCGCACAATTAGTGATGAGAGGGGATTTATCCTGGTGGCAGGAGGCAGGAGGCAGGAGGAGCCGAGTCCTCCTCTCTGCTCTCTGAACCAGGAGATCATCCGTCACCGACTCTCACCTCTGCATCAACCCACTGGCAGTAGCGTTTAGCCTGATGTTGCTGATGGAAGTCACTCTGAGGAGGTCGTGTTCGTGTTCGTGTTAATTCCTGATCAAAGAGTCGTCTCAACTTCAATGTGGTGAAAACATAATTATTTCATTGGAACATATTTAAGAAGTCGACAAAACCTCTGGTTAGAAAAGTGTACAGTATGATGGAACCATCATTAGCCACCAGGGGGCCACCACCTTAATGCAAAACATAATTTTGTATTAAAGGGTGATGAGTCTAAAAATGAAGTTAAAACAAAAAAAACCTCCTTAATCCATTGGTTTCAAACTAAGGGCCGTGGAGCCGTGGAGGTCCAAAGTGTGGAAATTGCACCACCTGTAAAAAAACAGTGTTATTAAGGAATTAGGAATATATTGTGCAAAAACTGCGATGACATAATGTGATGAGCTTCAGATTTAGAACTGTCCTCCAGTGGAGAACGTCCCAAAAACCAGGTGAAAGAAGCAGGAAGCTGCAGAGTAACACCTGAACAGGGACTTGAACCCTGGACCCTGGACCCTGGACCCTGGACCCTGGACCCTGTCTGATGTTCTACCGGGGGAGCCATCCAGGCTTTAACCACAGGACTCTGTTACATTAAGTTGCGACCTTTGACCCAGAGGTAAAAAACTGACGATGATTAGAATTTGAGTCGTGACTTTTTCTGATTTTTTTCTGTTTGAATTCAGATGTTACGTTGGATCCTGAACAAAGACCGCGTTCGACCGCGGGACCAGTCGCACACTACGCTCTCGAAGCGGTGATTAATAACAACCAATTTGGTCATAAAGAGGTAAAACCTGTGAAGCTGTTCTAATTAACCTTTAAGTGTGACGGACCTCGGCGAAAACCCCCCTCTCTGCTACTGACCCACATATATTACACTGCCTCGTGTGGCGGTTCCCGTGTTCACGGCCTCCTGGGAGAACCCTCACACACACACACACACACACACACACACAGCCGGCGTGTCCGATGACATCACGTCCCCGAGGGAGCGTGAATGATCTTGTTTTCACCCCATCTCTTCCTCTCTTGTGTATTTTCCTCTGCGGCTCCGGCACAAATGCATCATTTAAACCATTAGCGGCGGCGGCGGCGGCGGCTAGCTCCTTCATTACCGCAGACTAGATCGTCCTCCTCCCCAGTGGCAGCCGCGAGCCAGCGGACTGTGAGAAAAGGTTTTCACAGAGGAGGAGTAGTGGAGGCGGCAGCGCCTCGGTAAAGTATGACTTCATTTATACTGCTAATGTAAAACATTGATTCTCTGTGGGCAAAATAAAGGACAACATATTTCCAGGGCCCACATCATTAAGGTTTAATAATTTAGACCCAGTTAGTCCGATAATAAATATACTGCCGCGCCTCAACTCGGGCTTTTTTTCCGTGATGAATGCAATTAGAAAAGCTTGCACTTACATGGAAGAGTAATACGAATGGAGCGTCTGAATTAATTGGAGTTGGAGAAATGGTGTGGCCTGCGGTGAGTGTTTTTCCAAGAGCTCATTCCAGAATACTAACTGTCCTCTGAACACCGACTTTTTTCTCCTCATCGATATCTACGTCGTTAACAAACGACCGCACCTGAAGTACGGACTCCGGCCTCTTTAATGGCTTCCCAAAATGCTGGTTTTCTCTGTAAAACCAAGAGGACGATGATTCAGGCCAAGTGTTTGGGTTCAACAGCCAATCAGGATAAAGAACCGGAAGCACCTCCTCATTGGTTAGCCCCGAGCGTCGTCCTG